GCTATTTGACCAAGAAGGAGAGTGATAGTGTGCTGCGCCAGATGACCTGGCCTCCACAATCAACCGACCTGAACCCAATCGGGTGAGCTGGACCGCAGGGTGAAGGCAAAAGGGCCAAAAAGTGCTAAGCATCTCTGGGAACTCTTTCAAGGCTGTTGGAAAACCATTTCAGGTGACTACCTCTTGAAGCTCATCAAGAGAATGCCAAGAGTGTGCGAAGCAATAATCGAAGCAAAAGGTGGCTACTTTGAAGAACCTAGAATATAAAACATATTTTCAGTTGTTTCACACTTTTTTGTCAAGTGTATAATTCCACATGTTTTAATTTACATTTTCCCATTCTCTAGCTTTTTCTCCGGCTTGAGCTTCTTTTCCGAACAAACGGCTTTATGATCAACAGGAAGCAGTTCCTTGATTTTTAAATAAAGCATTTTAAATGCCACGATAATCACATTTAATGAATTTAAATGCCAATTAAGGCCTTAATTTAAAAAATTATAATTTAATGACTTTTAATGATTTTTAATGACCCGCGGAAACCCTGTCCCTTTATGCTGCCACTATATATTAGAGTATTTTACTGGAAAAATGACTGACAGACTGACGCAAAAGAGCATAACAGTGAAGTGCAGAGATATATTATAGATATATTAAGATATTTTACTAAAGAAATCTGAAAAGTTTGCCTTGTTAGCTTGTTAGCACTAAATAAAATCCAGAAAACAAAACAAAAAACAAACATCTCTCTGCCATTGCGTTACCTCATTGGTAATGATTCATACTCAATTACATGCAGTTGTTCTGTGAAAGTACAGAACATTAGAGAACAAAGAGCAGAAAGTGAGGAGCTGATTAAAGCAGAGTGAGGTCATAGAAAAACATCCTAAGCCTTTTAACATTTAATGGAGCTTTCTAACCCATGGTTGCAAACAGAACGAGACATGGTCGTCTACCTGGACTGACACGGCTGGAGCTGTTTAGACAAGCAGCCAAAATCAAACAGAGGGAGGTGAGAAGAAAGTCAGAATACTGTAGGTCTTGTTTGCACTTTGCCACATTTAGGGGAAACAGTAAACGTGTACGAATATGCTCCGTTAGATGACATCACAGCTGAACTTTTGGCCTATATACAAAGGTGTACAAACTTGTTTAAAATGAGGTAGAGCTATCAAATACTGACAGTGTTTGATTTTCAAACCTTCATGAAGATCAGTGGATAATAGAATTTGGTTCCATTATTTAACCTCTTACACCCTCAGGGGGTATAAATAGATTTCTGCCTGACAAAAACACACAAAAGTAAATCACTTATAGCCTCACAGCTATTAGATTTAAGAAGAAACTTTTGGTACCTCTGTAAAGGTAAGATGTCATA